ATCCTCCACTCACTATGTGCTCTTATACCATGGTCAACACATACTAGTTAGATCAATTGCTTAAAAACCCTTCTTTAAAACCATAATCCCAAAGTGGCCCAAAAGTAATTTGCAAGACTAAATTGTGAGCCTACACTTGTCACAAATCCAAGGCTCCATTCTAGGCTTAATCTCAAACCTACACTTGTCAACCATCCAAACCAACAAGTGCACCAATCCTAGGCCAACAAGTGGTTAAATCTCCACCCTCCACATGTCCTCATCCAAGGCCTCAAAGTGTTTCCACACACATGTCAACAAGTGGACCAATGAGAGTGTTACACTTGTCACAGTTTTCAGAAATTACAAAAAGGTCCTTTTTGAAAATATCTTCTAAATTAAATTATAAAATGGTCCCTAAAAAGAAAAATAATTACTTTACAGTAATTACACAAAAACCCCAAAAGTTTAGAATATTACAAAAATGTTATGCGTCTATACCCTTTACAAGAAAAGTAAGCACTTAGCATGCTTTTCTACAAAAGTTAAAATACACATAGTATGGAATTTAAATATTGTGGATGCATGCAAAACCGGAATCAAATCCGAACACGAAAAGTGAGGTTATGCTAACAAAGTGACAACCGAGAAAAAGATGAAATGTGAATAGTGTCACAAAAGTGAAAATGTGAAAATGACTCGGTTCTCAAAGGAAGTCGTCAATCCAAGGAAAAGAGTCTCGGAAACCATCTCCAAGCACTTAAGATGACATTAAGTGGTGAGAAACCGAACTCAGAAAGGAAAAGATCAACGGAAAAAAAAATATCCGTGAAAATTTGAGAAAAGGAAAGGAAAGAAAATGATCTGGTCATTACAAAAAGAGAGCATAGGACGCGCCCGGATAAGATTACACGTGCCTGGACACACCTCTCGAAGTCTCCAGCGAGTGGCACACACTTCCATGCGCTTGCACGCTCTAAGAGAAAGTTGTAGCGCGTGGCACACGCAGGCACGAGCCGCCATGCCCCTGCACGCGCCTAGAAGGCGCGTCAGCCACTTGAGCGTGTGATCCCATGGGCTCGGTCAAACCTTGCTGGCGCGTGGTCCTCACGCGCCAGCTGTATCAAGCACACTACCATTGCGTTGCATCGGATTAATTCCCGTGATCCTGATTCGATCCAGCGGTTCAGCTTATGGTTACACCTAATCTTGGTGCGCCGCGAATCATGGGATCAACCTTCTCCCTTCCGGCGCTGCCCTCATTGCCGGCGCCGCTCCGGTTGCCGGAAAGTCGCAGGAAAATCGCCGAAAATAATAAAAAAATCCTAGAAAATTAAATTAAGCCTAAAAAAATTCCATAAAAATTCTGAAAAATTCCAGAAAATTACTGAAGCATCATTTAATCCTTTCGGACATTCTTAAAGCTTCATAGCATCCTTTGATGAAGTTTACATGGCTTTAATAAATATTTACAATTTAAAATACAATGAAAAAAATTAAATTACATCATTGAACTTTCAAACGGCTAAATTAAAGCCTTAATTACATTCATCTAAAGATAAAATTACATTCAATATACTTATAACCTTCATCCATGGCCCAAATACACATCATCATCCATTCACAATTATACATATATCATCATGTATCAATATATATTAATATATTAATTCATACATCAACATACATCAATAAATAAATATATGCATATCAAAATTGGATCCATGAATGATGAATTTTAATAAAAACATGATCTCTAGTAATGAATCAAACCATTCTCTAATACCATTGTTGGGAAACATGCTAGTTTTAAAAACTTTTTAAGGGATTTTGGTACATAGATCTTGATTCATCACATAGAGACAAGTTTTATGCAAAAATAAAATATGATGTATCATTCAATTAACAGATTGAATACTTACATCAAAGGTCTGAGTAAACCTTTAAATATTTCCTCTAAAGTGAATGTTCTCACTTATTGTAAATCCCTTAGCAAGATGCCTTCTCCTTGGATCTCCATCTTCTTGGTAATTATTTTGTCTTTAGGAATCACTCATAAGTCTCCATGGATGACCTTGGAAAACTAGGCTTGTGGGAGCCTCCATTAGATGAGAACACTAGCCCTAATTTTCTAGAGAGAGAAAATATAATCCTTTTTCCTTCTCCCAAAAAATCTCACCCTCAATATACATAGACCATTTATATATATATAGGCAACATAAAGATAAGGAAAAAGAAACAATAAATCATTCTCAATCTCTAATTCACATGTCTCAAATCTAATAGGATTCCAATATCAAGTTGGGCTATGAGTGAGAATCCTTTGGGCTTATTATTTTATTGGCTATAATGAATTAATAATGGGCCCGGTCCATAGACCCAATTTAATTAATTCATAAATTAATTTCTACTCCACTAAAAGAAATTAACTGAACTCCAATTAAATAATAAATAACCTCTAAGTCAATGTTGTACTTTGACCCCTCTATGCATAATTAGTTATCGGATAAATAAAGCCATCAATCCGACTACTTAATTAATATAGTTATTTTGGTACTTTTGATTATTTTTGGCTTCACAATAAAACATTTGTTTGAAAAAGATAATAATTTAAATAAATAAATATATAATAAATCATTTTGTCTAAAAAATCACGAAGGCATTCGAATTTACTTTGTAATCAACTATAATCAATACAAAATAAATACAAGTAGCAATGATGCAAATATTGAAAATATAACCCTCTAACTATTAATTACATAATTACCCAAAGTGCCGGTCTAAGGATTCCGAAAATTCCGCCGAACAAATCAAAGTAATTACTAATTAATAAAAGAGTCTATACTTCTCTCATGCTTGAGAGTCAAATGCTATGACGGTAATAGAGAGTAATTGCATACAATGGCTCTTGCAATATATCTCAACCTAACGCGGATCCAATTCAAGTCTTAATTAATTATGAGTACATTCATAATTACCGACTATGAACAATTTATGATTACTATTTATATTCATGTATTGATCGCCATCACATATATATAAATATCTCTTGTAATTAAGTGGACACTATCAATTCTATAATGAATCGAAATATAATATATTGAATTCACTAATTGTATAAAGTATAAATATTTCAGATACATCAGGAACATATGTCCCTTTAATCCAAATAGAAATTTGTTATGTCAGGGCATATAAATCCTAACACAATCTTCAGTAGAAATTCATGATCCCTCAAAAAACATAACAGTGGGGGGGTACCGTCCCACGTTATTTGGGATGGTGATAAACTTAGTCCAACATGCGCTCACGCCACATTCCTTCATCAACCACACCGCTCCTCAACAAAAGTTCCATTAGCATTCAGTGAGTGATACAGTGCACACAAACATTCTTCGAAAGCCCCAATGCGTGAAAAGACATATATGTTTAGCCCTGAATTTCTAGGGACATCTCCCAAAACACCACTTTTGATAAATCAAAGCACACAATTACGCCGTGGAGTGGTCCAAAATCAATGACTTTTTTAGGTATCAGTAGCCAATGAAACGCTCCATCCAAATTCACTACAGCATTACTACCATCATTACTATTGTTTTTCTTCTTCTTCTTCTTGTCAAGTAATGATTCAAAGTCTACTGATTGGGGAAACTAAAAACCTCCCAATAACATGGCAAGAAACAGATGCACAAATTTGAATAAAAATAATCACAGCAACCCCTCTTATTGCAAATAAATAGTCAAACAGTTTAGTACTCTTGTCAACTTTTCAACATCTGACGAATATAGATTTTCAGCATAAAATTTACTAAAAAAAAAAAAAAAAAAAGGAAAATCAGAACAAAGTTGCACATCGTCTCTAGGTATAATATGTTTTCTTTCTAAGTCTTGACACATTCAAGATTCCAACTTTCATCCATTGCCAAAGAAGGAAGAATTGAGATTTGGAAATCAACATAATCATAAATAATGTTGCTACAATTAACCCCAATGCTAGCAGTAACCACTTGTGATTCCGATCAAACAATTTGGGTGCCCAATCCCTTTCTTTATTGTTCAGTTTTTCGTTAATGCAACAAAAGTCTTTGAAGTTGCTGCCCTTTAAATTATTATTATTTTTGCTTCTGCTCTTCTCATATTTACTCCAGATTTTGGTTAAAATAACAGCACTAGTCTTTAAAGTTGCTGCTCTTAGTTTTTGGTGGTTGGTCTTCTCCTATTTACTGGACAATTTTTTTTTCAATTGTTTGAATTGTAATTTTCCAATGTTGTAGAAGATTTTAATGTTTTCAATGTACTAGTGACAACCATGTTAACTGGAGTTACTTAAAATTTTCTGAATCAATTTGTTTCAGTGTTTATGAAATTGACAACTTCTAAATGTGTATTGGATATTATGAAGTGTGGTTTTCTAGACGTGAGAGGCATTCCTTGAGAAGTATGTTGTCTAAGCATGTCAGTTCTAAACTGGAGAATTTTGAAGACGGGAGAGGTGTGCATTCTGACGCGACAGTGCCATCAAAGATTGGAAGAGTTAAATCGAAGCAAACTGATATTTTTGTAGAATATGAGCATCCTGAGCATATAAAAAATCCCCTTTATGACCAATACTCATTTAAAGCAAGCGAGGAACTGTAAGATTACATCTCTGCTATGTGCATTTTGATTGCTTAACATTTTTAATTTCTTTTTTTAGTACCAACAATGAAATCAGGTAATTGTGATGAAAAATAGATTTTATCACTCTTTTCTAGACATACAACTTTGTTAATAATCATTTTCGCTATCTTGTAAACTACGCCAAACCTATTTCTTATTGTTATGATCAAGATTTGTGTTAATTTTGTTTCAACTTTTGGAGTTGGTTGTAAACTTTTTGCAGCTTAAGTTAAGCAGTTGGAGGGTTGGGTACGATCTGAAGCTGAAGAATACACTACTGTAATTGAGCAGAAGCATCACCTAGAAATAGATGCCTTTACAAAACAACTGAGACTTAAAGATGAGAAATTAGAAGCTTTTCGATGTCGTTTACTGAGCATGGAACTAGAATCAAAGCGTTGCAGTCCCATATTGAAGGACATAACCATGATTTGTCACAGCTCAGACAAGACAACATGAAACTTAAAGCTTTGATTTTGGATCGAGAAGCAAAGTTGAATTCTGTAAAAGAGGAGTATGCATTGCAGTTAGATGCATTGCAATTGGATCGAGAAGCAGAGTTGAATTCTTGTGAGATAGAGACTCGGAAAGAAGAGGAAACCCAAATTCTGAACCAGTCCAAAGATAGAATTTTGATAGTCCAATCTACAGGAAAAGAGTTTGAAGATGAAAAAGATGTTCTGGATTCAGGTTCTATTCAAGAGGAACAGGATAAAAAGGAGGCTGACACTGATGAAAAGTCAGCAACAGATGGCCCATGCTTGAGTAAGAAAACAACTCCATGGAAGATGGATCTTCATGCTCTTGGAGTTTCTTACAAGATCAAGAGGCTGAAGCATCAATTAGTTATGCTTGAGAAGGTGACAGGAAAGCAAGAAAGTTGTGAAGATAGGGTAACTAATGATAATACACAGTTTGGGATAAAGGGATTCAACATGTTGGTGTCAATGTTGAATAAACAAGTTAGCAGGTACCAGTCCCTCCAAGGGAAGACTGACGATTTTAGCAAGCGGATGGTAAGCCCCAATTTTAAATTTCAGGCAATTTTCAAGATTTTAGACCTACTGATCATGTTTGACATGGTTCTGAGTTTGTCTGCATTTTAAAGATTTCTACTAAACCATACAAAATTACTACTACGTCGACAAAATCTTGAAATTCTTCACAAATTTGGCTTTGTTGAGTGATAACTAGGGTAGAAAGTTCAATTGGAATTATTTTGCTTCAATTTGAAATGGACCCTTATTCCCCTCTTCTAATTATAATGAGACTTATTATCCTAACTTGGATCAGCAACTGAAAGTATTGTATTTGCTTTGTATTTTTGTTTGCAATTTTCAGCATGAGATTGATTTGGTGAGCTTTGGAGGTTCTACTATTGCTAAGACAAGGGAGGAAACAAAAACACTAGAGCACTTCCAGGAGAAAACATTTCAGCTGCAGAGATATATGGTAGCAACATGCAAGAAATTGATGGAAATACAATCCAAGATTGCTTCTGGACTCGTCGGGGCTGCAGAGGCCCTTGAAGGGCCTGCCAGCTTTGACATGAAGTGCTTTGCCGACAGTGTTAGAACACTCTTCAAAGAAGTTTGTAGACACTAAAATTTTAGTGGGCTTCGATTTTGATAAAATGGACCTGTTAAATATGGGCCTAATGTTTAATTAAGTTATTTAATTGGCCCAAGTTTTGTCCACTTAAATTATTTAATTAGCCCAGCCCAGATGGTTAAATATAAAGGTAATTATTCCTAATAAAATATATTTAGCATAATTATTTTTAAGGATAATTATTATAATATAACCGGCCCGGCCCAGTTATTATTTTATCCTTATCAGGAGATGACACATGTCATTATCCTATGGATCCAAGAAGCTTATAAATAGAGGTCTGGAGGAAGAAGGAAGGGGACATAAATTCAGAGTCCAAAAATCCAGAGACTCAGAAATCCAGAAGGTCCAGAAATTGAGAATCAGAAATCCAATGGCCAGAAATCCCGCAAACCTGAAGGCGAAGAACACCAAGCACATCCGAAGTCATGCCGTTCTTCACCAAATTTAATAAATTCTCTCCTCTCTGAAGACGAAGAACAACAAGCACATGCAAAGACGTATCGTTCTTCCTCAAATTCAACAAAGGACATAAATTCAGAATTCAGAAGTCCAGAAATTCAGAAAACAAAATTCTGAATTCAGAAATTCAGAATTGCAGAGAGAAATAAAGAAGCTCTCATCCCCAACATCCAAACCCAAAGGCAAAGAACACTAAGCACATCAAATCGTGCCGGTCATCATCAAATTCTGCGGTGATCAACAACAAGCACATCAAATCGTGCTGTTCCTCATCCAAATTCCACGGCGATTCAAGAATAAGCTCGTGCAGCCCTTAGATCCAACCAACAACAAAAAGGAGATCGAATCAGAGGACCATTCTTTTTGTAAAGATAATTACAAAGGATTGTACTCCAAATTCACAAATTAATAAACGTTTTATTTTGCTCATATTTTGTTTCTATTTGCAAAGAACAAAATTTGTGTGTACAAATTTCTGGCACGCCCGGTGGGACATCCTTTGCCTCTCATCTCTTTCTCCTATAGTAAATACTTAACAAATTCATCATCAGATTCAATGACTTGTAACAAGATTCAGATGAAGAGCAAGAATACCACCAAGGACATCGCAGTCATGACGGACAACATCATCACCACCACAAAAGGTGGCAAGAAGGTTACAACTTCGTCAAGTGGTACAAATAACTTTGCAAATTTAATGATGTGGAGCATGGTCAAAGCATCCGTTCCTACCAAAAGACAGCATGATGCAATGAGAGTCGATTCCGCCAAATCTATCAAAGTAACAACTTAAACTCATATTGCTTTCGCCTCGCTGGGGGCAAGGAGGAAGGTTCCTATAACCTCAAAGGTTGGTCCAGTCACAAGTTCAAGTTCAAGGCTGTTCCACCTAAAGGCAAAGATTTTTTCTGACTCCATCACTATGCCAGTCATGATGACGAGTACTACCTCGTACAAAGAGCAATTGATGACTATGGCCTATGCAATTGAAAGATTACAACACTCTCTCAAGGAGCAAGATCTAAAAATTGCCTCGCTGACAGAAAAGTTAAAATTGCATGACGACAATGCTGAGTCAAGCAAAAGCCAAATTCCTCATTCTAATTACATGCTAGAGAACACTTCAATTGATGATCAAAATGGCGTGTCCACCAATCCAACAATTGATGCTGCCTCCGTCACCTCACTTTCTATCCAATAACTTCAAGACATGATAGTGAATTGCATAAGAGAATAATACAGTGGTGTTCCTCAAAGTGCTCGCATGTACTCAAAGCCTTACACAGAAAGAATTGACATATTTAAAATGCTGGTTGGGTATCAACCTCCAAAGCTTCAATAGTTTGACGAAAAAGACAATCCCAAGCAACATGTCGCACATTTTGTAGAGATTTGCGGAAATGCTGGTACAAAAGGAGATCTCCTTGTCAAGCAATTCGTTCATTCCCTCAAAGGGAATGCATTTGATTGGTACATATACCTCAAAGCTGGAGGTATTGACAGTTAGGAGCAGATGGAACAAGAATTTCTCAACCGTTTCTATAGTACTCGTCGTACTATTAGTATGCTGGAGCTTACAAATACAAAATAAATGAAGAGTGAACCCGTGGTTAACTACATCAACCGTTGGCGAACTCTAAGTCTTAACTGCAAGGATCGTTTGTCTGAAATTTCTACAGTTGAAGCATGTATGCAAGGTATGCGCTGGGAGCTTCTTTACATCCTACAAGGGATTAAGCCTCGCACATTTGAAGAGCTTGTTACTTGTACCCACGACATGGAACTTAGCATGAAAAATCATGGTGCTAGGAAAGATCTTCCAGATATACCCGATAACCTTCAAGAATATGAAGGAAGTGAGTCCGAAGAATAAAACAATATACTTCTTAACTCGGATGATGAAGTAGGATTATCTTTCATTATAAGCATCAACTCGAGAGACTTGCATCAAGACAGGCACCATGCTACAACAATGACTTTAACCGAAACTACAAAATCATAAAGGGCATTAAGTCAAGGAAACCAAGAAGAAAATCCTGAAAGTGACGATGAGATAGTCTATGCCCTCTAGTATAAGCTTGGATTGTCGTCTGATTCTTGCAAAGTTAAAGAAAATTATTAAAGTTAAAGTGCTCCCAGATACGAGCCTAAACTGTCGATGATGCTCCCAGATACAAGCCTAAACTGTCAATGATGCTCCCAGATAGGAGCCTAAACTGTCGATGACACTCCTTGACACGAGTTTAAACTGTCTACCTGAAGAAAAAAAATCAAGAACTCCTTAATACGAGTATAAACTGTTTGGAAATAAATAAAAAAAAAAAAATGGCACTCCTTGACACGAGTTTAAACTGTTTATCTGAAAAAATATATATATCAAGAATTCCTTGATATGAGTTTCAACTAGTCCTTGACACGAGTTTAAACTGTCTACCTGGAAAACAAATCAAGAACTCCTTGATACGAGTTAAACTATCTCCCAAACAAAAAAATGACACTCCTTGACACGAGCTTAAAATGTCTACCTAAAAAAAAAAATTGACACTCCTTGATATGAGTATAAACTGACTATTTGAATAAATAAAAAAAACAACACTCCTTGGCATGAGTATAAATTGTCTGCCTGAAGAAAAAAAATCAAGAACTCTTTGATACGAGTATAAACTGTTTGGAAAAAAACTAAAAAACTCTTTGACATGAGTATAAACTGTCTACCAAAAAAAAATTGTGAGCTACATGATGACTTGATCCCTGTTTAGGGTATGTAGGTATCTTGGAAGTTTGTTTCAAGTTCAGTCAACCTAAAAAAAAAAAAAAAAGACAAAGTGTGCTCATCGCATGATATCAAAAGTGATTTGTCACACCCTGTCAACTTGGCACGCCACCAAAGTATAGCTGCGAAGAAAATTTTGGTCTGTTGCCAAATTGTAGCTGCAAGGAAGAAATTTAGCCTGTCGCCAAAGTGTAGCTGCAAAAAGAATTTTGGTTTGTCGTTATAGTTGTAGCTACAAAAGAAATTTTGATTTGGCAAAGTATAGCTGCGAAGAAATAAATTGGTTCGTCACCAAACTGTAGCTACCTAGGAAAATTCTGCTCACCGCCAAGGTATTTCTGAAAGGGAAATTTGGCTATCCACTGAGATGTCATTGAAGAAAACAATTCTACTCACCGTCGAGGTATTGCTGAAAGAGAAATTTTGTTTTCCTCTGAGGCGTCGTTGAAGAAAAAAATTCTCCTCGCCGCCGAGGTATTTCTAAAAGAGAAATTTGGCTATCCGTTGAGGTGTCATTAAAAAAAATTCTGCTTGCCATTGAGGCGTTGTTGAAAGACAAATTTAACTTGCCGCGAAGGCGTCGCTGAAGAATCTAGTTCATCGCCATAATGTTGCTGCAACAAAATTTTGACTCACCATCAAGGTGTCGTTAAAAGAAAAAAATTCTGCTCACCGCCAAGGTGTTGCTGAAAAAATAAAATAAAATAATTCTGCTCACCACTGAGGGGTTGCTAAAAGAGAAATATAGTTTTCCACTGAGGCACTGCGTCAAGGAAAATTCATTGCTGTCTGGTCTATGGCTAATGAAGGCTAATAGACTGCATCTACATCTATCGTTGCTCTTCGAATTGATTCGGGGCTACTGACGACACTGTCTGTGCTAGTCGCATAACCTCTCGGAGTCTAGTCTCGCTCTATTAATGGCTGTTGGATGATCCATAGCTGATGAAGACGCTCTGGCGGCGGGTGTTGACAACGTTGTCTGAGCTAGTGGTAAAACGTCTCTCCATCTGCATCTATCGTTGCTCTCTGGATTGATTCATGGCTGCTGAAGACATTGTCTGTACTAGTCGTATGACCTCTTAAAGTTTGGTCTCGCTCTATTAATGGCTGCTGGATGATCGATGGCTAATGAAGACGCTCTGGCTGTAGGTGTTGATAACGTTGTCTGAGTTAGTGGTAAAACCTCTCTCCATCTACATCTGTCGTTGCTCTCTGGGTTGATTCGTGGCTGCTGACGACACTACCTGTGTTAGTGGCATGACCTCTCGGAGTTTATTTTTGCTCTATCAATGGCTGCTGGATGATCCATAGCTGATAAAGACGCTCTAACAATGAGTGTTGATAATGTTGTCTGAGCTGTTGGTAAAGCTTCCCAGGGTCTACATATCTCGCTGCTCTCTGAGTCAATTCGTGGCTGCTGACGACACTGTTTATGCTGGTGGCATGACCTCTCAAAGTTTGTTCTCTCGCTCCAAAATGGTGATAGTATGGGGCTTGAGACTCCTGAAAAACACCATGATTAACTAGCACCCCCCTGGAAAAAAAGAAAAGAAAAAAAGGTTAGCACTTGAAAAAAAAAAAATTAGCGCTTGAAAAAAAAAATAATAATAATAAATCAAAAGTGTGGATTGGCATGCATGGAAGATTTTGGTTCCGAATGAACAATGGGTCCTTACGGACTAGATGCGTTCCGAAAGAACAATGGGTTTTTACGGACTAGTTGCGTTCCGAAGGAACAATGGGTCCTTACGGACTAGTTGTGTTCCTAAGGAACAATGGATCCTTACGGACTAGTAAAAAAAGTTTGTCCAAAAAAAAAGAGAAAATAAAAGAAAAAAAAGAAACAAAAAAATGTGAAAAGGAGAAAAAAAGATCGCATGAAAAAAAAAAAAAAAAGAAAAAAAAAAAGAAAGAGAAGGAAGAAAAAAAGAGAGAAGAAAAAAAAAAAAAAAAGGAAGAAAAAAAAAGAGAAAAAGAAAAAACCAAAAAGGAAAGAAAAAAAGAAAAGAAAGATCACATGGAAAAAAAAAAAAGAAAGAGAAGGAAGAAAAAAAGAGAGAAAAAAAAAAGGAAGGAAAAAAAAAAAGAAAAAGAAAAAAAGAAGGATAAAAAAAAAGGGAAAAAAATAAAAGGAAGAAAAAAAGAGAGAGAAAAAAAAAAGAGAGAGAGAAAAAAAAGTGTGAAAAAATGAAGGAAAAAAAAAGCGTGAAAAGGAGAAAATAAAAAAACGAGAGAAAAAAAAAAAGGAAAGGGGAAAAAAAAAATAAGAGGAAGAAAAAAAAATGAAAAACAAATCGTAATATGAAAAAAGAAAAGGAAGAACGTGCGATTTGAAAAAGAAAAAAAAAAAAAAAAGAAGAAGAAGAAAAGAAGAAGAGTGGAGAAAAAATCATACCGATTATTCAAGCGGAGACCGCAATCTAACAAGTCTTCAGAGACTGTAGAATTGATGACAAAACCTATAACATTGGTGGTATATATAGGCAACAAAATATCTCCTGTTTGTACTGGAATTTGTATAATTCAGTTTAAATAAGAAAGTAAAATACCAATCCAAAGTTGGATAGAAAAGCAAAAGAGGAATTCTTACAATCCAAAGTTGGATAAAAATAAAAAATAAAAAATAATAATAATAAAAAAAACAGAGAGGAAAGTTGGATACTTCAAGTCCCATTTGAAAAAGGAGAAAAATCCTGTTAAACTTGGGACTCGAAGTGGGGGCAATTTGTAGAAACTAAAATTTTAGTGGGCTTCTATTTTGACAAATGGACCTGTTAAATATGGGCCTAATGTTTAATTAAGTTATTTAATTGGCCCAAGTTTGGTCCACTTCAATTATTTAATTAGCCCAGCCCAGATGGTTAAATATAAAGGTAATTATTCCTAATAAAATATATTTGAAATAATTATTTTTAAGGATAATTATTATAATATAACTGGTTCGGCTCAGTTATTATTTTATTCTTATCAGGAGATGACACATGTCATCATCCTATGGATCCAAGAAGCTTATAAAT